AAGTCTTCGGGTATAAATGTGATTCGAGAATGCTTTTCACACCAGTGCATTATTAAATCAGCCACTTTAAAACTTTTGCCTTTCAGGGAACCTTTTCCACAGCAATGTGTCTGCTGAGAGGAAACTTGCTACTTTTGCCATGGAACTTTTACACATTGCAAAAGATTCTGGTCATGTGCAAAGGTGCCCAATCTGCTCATAAGGTATGCTGGCTGGTCTGGTTGACCTGCTAGAACAACAAGGTATGTCCCAGAACACATCCAGAGCACTTTACAAGAGAAGACTGGTAAAGAGCTGCAAGTTACCTTTGAGGGAAACTTGTCTGCGATGATTAATTTTTTTCATGGAGGAACATCTGACAGGCTTCCAAGGAACCCCAAAGGTCCCACAGTACACTGTTGAGTGGTTCCTCAGATTTCAGTGAGGTGGACTTGCAAAGACAACCATGATTGTGAGTCACAGCATCAGTGCATGCTTAAAAAGCAGCCTTGCTCACATTGGCAGAAAAAGTTGGAATGGCTCCAGAGATGGTTGCTTCCTCCTTTCCTTTTAGAAGTCAATGGCATAGCAATACCAAGTTGATAATTTTGGGACACTCACCTGTACTTCGGTCAACCAGACATTGCTGCATCCATACAAAAGCCAATGTGCCACTGTTGTAAGCCATGTTATTGATCTTAATGGCTATATGTGGGATGTTTTTAATGGCTCACACATCCCAACACTTTGCAAGGAATAAAATAGGAAGAAAGCAACAGAACAGAGCCAGCTCAAGGCATCTTGCTTTTCCTGCTTTTGTGGTTCCCTTCACAAGTTACCCAGTTCCATAGAGGAAATTAGAGTAATTACTATGTCAACTGCAATATGCAATGATCCTGCATGAGTGTAAATAGCTGTTATGAACTCACACTGAGAATCTCATCCACAGTCAATTGCTACTCACAGAATATGTGCACACAGTGGCTTTTAAATGTGTAAGAACATCACCTCTTATGACTTACATGTAAGAATTTGGTGTGCAACATGGCTACAGATATAAAGGCCTGGAAAAAAAGAAAAACATTAGAGAAAAACACATTTTTTTCTAGACGACTTTTCACCCCAATTTTTCTGGTGGAAAATTTGGGGGTAGCAGTGAAAGAGAGAGAAAAAATCCTCTTATGAACTATGTGGTCTTCAGAATGAGTGGAAAATGAGTGGAAAAGACAAGAGTTTTATCCACTCAAACTGTATAGCATCCAGTTTTGCCAACAGAAGTAATCGGAAATTTTGTGGAACATAGGAAAAACTAGATTTTTTTTTCTTTTGGAATGTGTGAAATCCTTTTAAGACTTGGTTTTGAAAAGCATGAGGGCTGTTTCCAATGGAAAAACTAGCAAATTTGGGTGAAGACTAGAAAATATCGAATATATTCTTCTCTTTTGTGTTAAGATAGAGTGCAACTGTTTGTAGCTCTTACTCATTGTAGTAATGGGTGTATTCGATGTTTTGCTTATAAAAAGAAATAATTTATACTTTAAAATTCTATAAATATGCCAGTTAATACAATTTTACATGCTAACCACATTTATGGTGTTAAAGTAGTAAGGTATATTTGGAGAGGAAAAACAGGGTTTTTCATGGCTTCAAAATTTCAGATTCTTTGGATGTGGCATTCGGAATTCTGATTTGTAGTTTTTTACAATCTGCAATCCTTTGCTATGATTTTGCATTTTGCAACAATGAAGAGGAATTGAGATTTAGTTTTTCTGGGACATGGTATATTGAAAATGACATCACAGTAGACAGCACGCCAACAGAAAAAAAAAAGTCACTGCTAGAAAACTGAGAGCAAAAGTCACATCACAATTTGAGTTGGTTCAGATGTTTATTTTGGGTCACCTTTATTCCTGAGATTTAGCACAAGCTCCAGTAAATGAGCAGAATTCACTGGTTCTGTTCTTGTTCCACAGTTTTACTCTGCCCCGCCATTCTGCTTCCTAGTTTACCTTGGAGAATTTCTCAGATTAGTTTGGGAATTGTCATATGTGCATGTCCATCCATTTTCAATTTGTATTCTGTTTTTCTTCCTCACAGGTTATTGATGCACACATTGACTAAATCACAGATCAAAAAGCAAACTTCTTGAGGGGTTTGTGTGTCTGTGTGTGCATGCTATGATTCAGTCTGTGCATATGTGCTAGTGAACATTGGCAGCAATTTGCACATCCTTGTTCAATTTGCACATCCTTGTCCATGAAGCTGATCAGGTGGTAAAGAAACATATTCATGGAGATCCTACATTTACACACATTCCCTGGTAATGTGAGATCACAACAACAGGAATTACCTCTCATGCCAATGCAGATATATATGAATGGAAGCCAAAGATACATTTTGGGAGTGTAGGGGCTGTGGGTGCTGTGGTGGATGAGACTCATGGGCTGTCTTAGTGTACATATTACCTTGGTCGTGAGAATAGATTGGTTCTTGTGAGTGAGTGGAAAAGTGAGCCTCAAATCTTGCATCTGACTTGGTCCTTTACTATATCAATAGGAACGTGAACATGAGAATCAGTGTTGCCTAGGTCACTGTTTTGCTTGGTGATCCCATTCTTGTTTAGGCTGTTGGTTTGTTCTTCAGCTTTATAAAGAGAGAATGGACCACGACAGCTGACCCATGACAGCAGTTTCACTAATTTGACATAACCAAGAAAGAGAGCTGTGAGCATCATGTAAAATGATCATGTATGATCTTACCCTGGGAAATTAAGAAAACAGGGGTTCATTCTGCATTACATTTTTTTTTCTGTTTTGTCATGAACACTTCCACAAACAATCGTCATGGGAAAACACTAATGTTTTTATTCCCCTGAAAAAAAAAACACAGTTACCCTCACTGGGTGCACAGAAGTTTGGGTTCCACCTTAAAATACAGGTACATATATAAATAGTATATTATAAAGAGCCAATAAGTGATCAATAGCTTTTATAGGCATATTATTGACATAAGGGACTCCATTAGAAATGGTTACAATGACATCAGCAGAAGGTAGTTTATAGTAGAGAAATTACCAGTCCATTAGAACAGCTCTTTACCAGCGATTAACATCTCGATGGGAAAGCGCATGCCATGGATCAGCAATATTCACTACATTCCTCATGAATATGTGGCCACCCTGAACTACAGATCCATGTGCATTTAGATGCACACACATTCATGGATCTCTTAATGCATGCATGCTTTCCCATTCTTTTCAATGAAGAGACCCGTGACATGTACATAGTCTTTTGTATTTACTGGGCCTGTCTCTTCATCCAGACTAATGGAGAAGTCTTACCATGGGGGTGGGGGGAGAGGAGGCTTCATACCAAGCCCATGATGGTCTGCAATGGAGCCAAATGTATATTCTAATTCCAGAATTTGGATCCTGTGTTGTTGCTCCTGCTGTGTTTTAAGAATGCAGATTTCTTACCATGTGTATATTATGGTGAACATCCAAAACTTGATGGGAGTTGACATCCAAATATGAACACTGATAATCTTGGACACATTTTGTGAATGTTTGAAAATTCACAATATACTAGTTGACATAATCTGAAGTCCTTTACAGACATTATGTTTGTACGTATTGGGAGGGAAGCACCTTGTCCATATTGGGAATGGCCTCCTCCCAACATGAGTGGTCACCATGTCATCTGAACAAGGGCACAATCTATATTTTGCATGTACATACATTTTTGCTATACATGAAATGATAGCTGGATGTTCCAGTGTTATGGTTTGCACATGTAAAATATGTGCAGCACCCTTGTTTAGATGATGCAGTGAGTGCATGTATCTGGAGAAGGATACTCCTAATATGTGTAGTGGCTGGCCTCCTGGCAAACGCAGACATAATGCCTGAAAACTGAAAGTCAACACTTACTTTTGTTTGTAAAAAAGTGGAGAAATATATGTACTGTAAGGATTATTCACAAAATGTCTCCAGGATTCTTAATGTTCATATGTGAGTGTCATTGCATGTTGTAATGTGTACATAACTGAATCTCGCCTGTAGTACATGGAAAGCAACCAACTGGAGATGCCTTTTCCATTCCCTCTTGCTCAAATTACAACCTGAAAAGTCATGACAGTTCCACATGAAAACCTGGCAAAAAGCCCATACATGCCGCATATTTATCAATTGGATGTATGAAACTAGAACAGCTTACATCAGTACCTGAAACCTTAACTGAATCAAAAGATGAAAAAGTGTATAATATTCATACATTAACTACTGCCCTATATTTATATATTTATATATATATATGCATATATATACAATTATGTGTATAAAAAACTTGTGATGAGTCCTTCGTGAAGAATTCAAGACATTCTTGGACAGGGTTGAATAAAGAGCAGGAGAGAAGTGAAAACAGATTGCAGCATTAAAGAAACACCTTGGGGGTATTGCTGCATTTTTGCATTATGACCCCCCCCCAAAAAAAGGATTCATTGTACATCAGGAGATGGGAGGGAAAAGCCCCCCTCCCCAAGTCTTCAATTTCTACCTCTACATACAATAACTTACAAGTTTATTTATTTAAATAATTGTAAAACATCTTACATTTTTCATTTTTAAAAAGAGATTAAACTATAAGCAAATACACACATACGTCAACGTCCCACCATTCATATCAGTTTTATAAGAAAGTCTTCCATGCTGGTACCCTGTTTTGTGTTATTTTTTTCTGCATAAACTAAATTGGTATCTGAAAGGCTCCATAGAAAATAGAAACTTCAACATTTCCCCCCCACCTACAAAGTAAAACAAAGAGTATCCAAAATATCACACTTGAATCAGTTGGCCAATTTTGTTTTCACCCCTTTTTAATATTTTACAAACATCCGGAAGGTTTTCTGTCCATTAAAAAACCCCAACCCCCCCAAAAAAACCTTGTACTTCTGATTCCATCGCATCAACAGTGTACACCTGGATCTCTGGAAAACCCTTCTTTTAATTTCGGGGGGGGGGGGGGTGATGGAAGTGAGTATGAAACCTGGAAGCGGTCTGCTAGCTCATCCAACGTGTGAAAACTGTTCCCCTTCTTGCTTCAGATGGCTTCCCTCCCATCAAAAGAGTGTGTAGTGCTTTCCTCCCCCCCCTTCTAGTGGTCCATCACAAATAAGTAGTTTTGTGCTGTAAAAAAGAAAAAAAAATTCCAGCGTTTCCTCCTCTTCTTTTACATTGGAGGAACAACAAGACCAGTCATGGCTGAAAGGGAAAACGAACAAGGTTAAAACAGCAGTGCCTTACCAAATTAGAAGCAACAAGCTGGGGGGTGGGGCAAAAGATAGTGTGGGTGGGTGGGAGGGTGGGTGGGAATAAACTATTGGGGAACTCCTCCTACCCCTGCCCTTTAACCCAACTCAACACTCTGCCTTTGGCCCAAACACAGTCTTGGCCCCCTTTGGCCCAATTCAGCAGGGCACTTATGTTCTTACGATGCCGCTTCCACGGCCAACGTACCATGGCATAAACCTTCTATAGTAACATTTCTGTTTGCAATAAGAAAACCCAGGAATATTAATTGGTTTATCAAACGCTTGATATTCTGCTTGGTCCATCTCCTCCTGTGAGTTGGCTTAATGTCATTTTAGAGCCTAGCTTTTGTTCTTGCAAGCTGCTTGACGCTGCTCCCCTCTCCTCCCCTTTGGGGCTGAGCTGTCAAAAGCCTATTTCCCAGCCTGTACGACTTCTTATTGAATGTTTGTGAGGTTCGGATTAAGGTCTTACACCTCTCGCAAAGCTGTAATTATTTTTGCCTGTATTACTATATACTGAATCGATGTAACTTTTCAATAAAGGTAGGTTCAATGCAGGACATTCCATGATGAGTAGAGAATACAGGAACCATAGTGATTATCCCCCAGGGATTCTCTTCTCTCTTATTTTATTTTATCTTATTGGAGAGGAATGGAAGGAAGAATTAAAGATGTGCCACACTGTATTAACCTCCAAAGACAGCCATTATCAGATGAAACACTTGATTAAATGTGTCAAAAAACCACCCAGATGCTAGGATGACACACAAGCACCTTAGGCATGTGTTGTTAATAATACTAACAAACATCTCGCTGGAAGAAGAAATTTTATATTCCTTCCTATGCACCAAGGAATGACAACAACAAAAAGGAGGGGGAACAGGGCCGGCCTTCTCGTGAAGTAATGTGAAATTTTAGATGGTAGATTCAGGGTGATTCTGCATCTAGCATTTGCTCCACATTTTCTCAACACTGAGGGAAAGGTGCAGCTCAAAGCCACATTCAAATACCCCAGGGCAACGCCTACTGACTGCAAAGTCACCCCTGAACTGCTGTGAATCTACGCAGAAGGCACCATAAAACCCAATGAGCAAAGAAAGTGAAAGTGGCATGCAGTGCAGAGGGTACCATAAAATCTGATGAGCAAAAAAGGTGAAAGGAACATGCAATGCAGAGGAGAATTTCTGTTCCAACATGGGTTTGATAAAACAAGGGAGGGAAAAGCCAATGCAGAATCACCCTTAGAGAAGCTCAGTCTTTTTGGTTTAAACACTCTCTATTCCACAGTAGGATGTGAGTGCCATTTTCTTTTAAGGTACAAAATATCTTAAGGCTGGCAGTGGGAAAGAATTCAGATGGGTTCTATTGTGTAGTAGGTTAACCGCATGGCGAGGCCGCTGCGGCTCGCATAACATCCTGCATGCTTCACTGCTACACAACAAAGACAAAGGGTAATGGCCCGTGGACCAACTATATACACATGTGGGGGACACCCCCTAGGTCCCGTTGGTGGGTTTGAATCTACCGCCAGCGTCCCATTGGTCCCTCAGTGGAGAGACCAGGAGCCTTGTCCCCATTGTTCTTCCAGAGTCAAGCTCTGGGGTATTCGCTGGCCTCTGGTGGCAGTCAGCGGACACAACAGGTTCATTCACCCAAAGAGCTTCAGTGTTTTAAGATAACATCTCCATTCAGCTACTTAGGGCCTTACTTCGTGCCACTTAGCACCATCGGCAGCAACAAAACTCTCTCTAGGGTATGTTGTTTCAGCCCTGCCCCCGTGCTTGAAGATGCCAGAAAAGAGGGGGTGGTGGTTTACCTGCTCTGGCTCCTGGGAGAGGTGGCGGGAGGGTGACAGTGACGGAGTGGCAGCGGAGGACAGCACCCTTTGCTGAGATGCCTGGAAACAGAAATCTGCCCCCCTCCCCAGCACACTTTCCCAATATACACCGGTGCATGTCGGCAGCCACCTTTAGGTAACTGTCAGCATTCACCAAGGCATCCGTGTTTTCAGGCACTCCTAAAATTTGGCTGGGATCGTCAGCATTCAACAAGTTTGGGATGTCTGCTGTCACGTCTCCGCAGCAAACGGCTGCCACAGACAATCATATTTCAGAAACCTGTATCCTCAGCAATGCTAAAAGGAGAGATTGGGACTGAGATCCTTTGGAAGAAAGAAAGGAAACGAATCAGACCTCTCATTTAAGGAGGGAAATATTGTGGCATGAAACCCTTCCTCTCCTCCATTAGCGTCTTCTGAGATGGCCTCTGAGGGTTACTTCAGTAACTTGTTGAAAAAGCGGCCTCGGGTTGGTAACAAGATACACAATAGCTTGGACATGCCCGGCTCAAGGTAAAGAGGCTCTCAAATTTCTCTCATTACCAACACCATCACGTCTTGAACGTTTGCTTCCTCTTTGCAAAGACCTTGCCTTTTGCTTGAAGTTACTGCAACCCAGTTTCAAATACACTCACACACACACACACACACAAACACACAGAATGCAACCCACTGAGACTGAAACTTATTTAAAAAAACAGTTTAAAAAAACTAAAAGTATGGGAAGAGTACAGTTGGACTGGATGAAGATCCATCTGCTCAAGCATCCTGTTTCCCAGAGTAGTCAGCCAGGTTCCTCCAAAAAGCCTAAAGCTAGATATAGAAGGCAAAGCTTCTCTGTATTGTTGCCTCCCAGCCAGCAACTGGCATTTACAGGTACGCTCCCTCTGAATATGGAGGTTCTATTTAGCCACCATCATTAACTATCACCTCTGTTAATTAGGCATAAGTCAAAAGCCCTGTACACATGACCTCTTCGCATGCTGATTGCACAGGGAGGGAGACTGAGCACAAGCATACTGGTCCGCCTCTGCTGGGTCATCTGTATGTGCTCATGAAGGAAGCGTTCCTGTGCATATGCTCTCATGACTGTGGAAATTCAGAAAGCAGAGTCCCTGATCACAGGGACCGAGTATACATGTGGGCACATTGGGCATTCACCCCGATAATAGTGTATAAGCAGAGCCATTACACTCGTGCCCACTTTCCCTCCGTACATGTTCAGTCAACACAGAGGGGCTATATGTACAGGACTACAGAAACTCAGGAATGACTGACTTAATTTTATAGCAGTCAGGTCAAGCATGTCGTAACTTCCCAAGTGGTACCAAGATTGCTCTGCCACAGTCTTTTTGGTACCTTAATGTATTTTATTGTGATAAACCCCTTTGCTGGCCAGAACTCATTGTATCAGATATGTGAAGAGTTACCTTCATTTGGCACATTTTTATACATGCTTCTGCATAGGTACTAACGAGGAGTGTGTGTGATTACAAAATGAGATCAAAAGCCATGCAATCCAAGAGGTTTGTATGTTCTGTTAGGATGCAGAACACAACTGAGATCAAAAGCCAAAAGGAAGTGTAAACAATACAGTCAGAGAGGGAGTGGATCACTCCAAACAGATGACGGATTGGCAAAACAAGATGAAGGCTGCGATCAGACACACTACATAATCCACTTTCAATGAACTTTCAAACTGGATTTTGCCAGTTCACACAGAAAAATCCAGTTTGAAAGTGGATTGAAAGTGGATTATTTAGGCCGAGTTCAGACTAGCAATTTGCCCCAATATAGGCGCGCGTGAGGAACATTTCACAAGTGGATTAAAGGGGCCGTTCACACAGGCACATCTGTCCGGCGTTCCCCACCTGTACTCAACCCGTCTTGTAGCGCTTACCTCCTGGGTTTAAAAGATACCTGGTGAAAGTGGTAGCAAACTCTGGAGAGCCTGTTTATCCCGCTTCAGTCTGCTTCCCGGAAGTGAGAACGCGAACCGCTAAAAGCTGGGAACAGCCCATGTTAATAATGTGTGCCAGGTGTTTACGCTGACTGACCTCCTAGCCTCACTCTGGCACCAGGAAGGTGCAGGTGATTGCCTTGAAGAGGGGGTAGTGATGTCGCCGGATGTGCCTATGGCCCACAGCGGCCGGATCCTGCCCTATTTGCTGCTGTGGCCAGGCATCTGCTGCGAGGAAAACGCCGCTTACAGCCGTGCCTCTGGGCCAACAGTGTGAACGCTCCCTTGCGCCTCCTGTTCCCGCATCAGTCCACGCAGTGTGACTGGGAAAACCCGGAACAGTTTGTTCTGGCTCTTTTTTGCAACGACTCCCTCCCGCTTCAAACTGCCAGTCTGAACGTGGCCATTGTGTGCATGATCACAGCCGAAGAGTGGATTTTCCAAGTGCCTTTCCCATCGTGTCAAGAGCAGGGCTCCTCAGTGTGGTGTCTGTGGGTGGCATGGTGTCCGCTGACACCTTTTCTGCTGCCCGCCAAGTGCTTTTAGGAAGTGGGTGGGGCAAGGTAAGGCTTTTGCCCAGCATGGCTTCTCATTGACCCCTGGAGATTCGATTGGCTGTGCAGACTTTTTTTTTTAATGTTGCTTTGGCAACAGCTGCCACTCCAGCACAAGGATCTGTACTGTGTTACTGAAGGTAAGCTGTGGCAATCATTTTGTGGCTGGATCCACCTATTACAGCAGCCATTTTGTGGCAGCCATTTTGTTGCTGCACCCACCACGACTGGTCAGAATTCCAAATGTGCCTGTGGGCTCAAAAAGGTTGGGGACCCCTGGCCATGAGCTTCCCAAATGAATTGGGCATGAGAGATTTGGAAGACAAAAGGGGAACCTAGCCTTGGAGTCAGGGCATAGTCTAAGGAGTGAAATAGTACCACTGTGTACCTTTAAATAGAAACCTGCATGCTGTACACAGTGCACGGGTGTATGTGTGGAGGGACAGGGGCTGAAGTTCATCCAAGATGTAACAGAGAGGGACCTTTTCCTTCACTTTGCCTGAAAGACTTTGCCAGTTTCGTCTGTTAAGAGAATCTTAAGGCAGAGTTAGGGGAGGGCCTCTGATCATCTCTTTGTCAGTTTCAGCTTCCCTGAAGGC